ATAAAGACCAATAACTATATTTAAAGTGGGGCGGCAGTCAATTACGATTAAATTCCGAAATCGAATTGGGTCCGACTATTAATTAAGTGTCTCCTCTCGGGGCTGCAATTTATTCATGAAATTATCGGTAATAACACTGGAAAAAATGCCACCCTGTACATATAAAATTTTTGGCTGGGAATAGATGAGTACCGGCATAAATCTAACGTAATTTACGAGCCTATATAAACTTATATAATAGATAAAAAAATCTTTTTCGAGAGTAGTAAAAATTGTTTTAATTACTGAAACTTGCTGTACTACTGTTCCCCGTCTGTCAAGATTAGATCAGTCCGCTTTATAGACTTGAAATATTATTTTTTTTATCTGTTTCTGGTAATGGGAGTAGTGGCGCAGTTATGGCTCGCCCGAGGGGGTAAACTGACCTCTGTGGCTGCGTGTGGTAGGTGCACAGCGGGTATTGGTCTTGTTTTGGCACATCCCATTGATCGACAGATAGTTATTGTTGTTAATCGCCAATTATATGGGACAGTTGACGTCTGTATCAGTGTGGGTGGCTCGGCAAACCAGTGGTCAACAAACTGTCTTTTTTCCAAAAGATCGATTACAGATAGACCGTGGAAAAATTACGTCTTGACGCCGGCTTTTCACAGATCGATAACCGGAGAAGTGGATGTGCGAGACTCTTCCGACAAAAACAAACACAAGAAGTGTGGTGGAGCGCGACCGACAAGGTCGCGTGTTCAAAGAAAGAAGCGACAAGTTGCGGTCGTGACGCACGGACAGGAAATACCGCAAGAGTACGCGTGCCGGACTAGGACGCTACCAAAATCAATTAAAGATGAGCAAGGGTCCACATAATTAGAAAATTACACCAAGAAACAAAAAATTTAAATTTTTTTTTCTTTGAACTTTGGAGTGATTTTTAACTAAAAACTCATAAAATTTAATAGATTTTGCCAAAAGAGAATCGAAAATTGCCAAAATTAAATCTGAAAATACGTTACTTTGTAAATTAGAGCGTTTCCCACAGTTAAACTTATTGAATTCAAAAAAATTGCCAAAATCAATTAAGATGAGCAAGGGTCCACATAATTAGAAAATTACACCAAGAAACAAAAAAATTGGAGCTTGAAACGCCCTCAGAGGAGATTTGGAATTATTTATGGGTTACGAATATTAAAGAGAAAAGAAGTTGCTCATTTTGTAAATGAACTAGAATCTTGAAACGTTTCAGAAGATTTAGACGACTATCGCAAGATTTAAGAATTAAAATAATTTTGCATTTTTCAAATTAATTCAAAATTAAGCTTTTCATTGAAAAAAGATTTCTTATTGTTTCAAATACTTCAAAATGACAAAACATCCTACATAAACTTTTTAAATACTATTCCAAAAAATTAAGGGAACTAAAAAATTTCTTAAATGTTTTGTTGATTATTGAAAAAATATACTTCAATGAAAAATGGTCGTATTTAGATTTTAAAAAGTTCATTTTGAAAACTTTCCTGAAAACTAAATAAAAATTTGCAAAATTGCATAAACTTTTTTTTTTCTCTGAACTTTGGAGTGATTTTTAACTAAAAACTCATAAAATTTAATAGATTTTGCCAAAAGAGAATCGAAAATTGACAAAATTAAATCAGAAAATACGTTACATTGTAAATTAGAGCGTTTCCCACAGTTAAACTTATTGAATTCAAAAAATTGCCAAAATCAATTAAGATGAGCAAGGGTCCACATAATTAGAAAATTACAAGAAGAAACAAAAAAATTGGAGCTTGAAACGCCCTCAGAGGAGATTTGGAACTATTTATGGGTTACGAATATTAAAGAGAAAAGAAATCGCTCAACTATCACAAGATTTAAGAATGTTGAATTATTACTGAAAATAATTTTACATTTTTCAAATTAATTCAAAATTAAGCTTTTCAAAAACTCCTTGAAAAAAGATTTCATATTGTCTCAAATACTTCAAAACGACAAAACATCCTACATAAACTTTTTAAATACTATTCCAAAAACTTAAGGGAATATAAATTTTTTGTTGATTTTTGAAAGAGTATTTGAAAGAGTATTACCTCAATGAAAAATGAAAAATCTAGTGTCGCGATTTTTCGACAAAAAAATTTTTGAGCTACGGTTATTGTGCAATCCTTAGATATAACGCCAGAGAAAAATCTGCAAATTTTATTCCAAATTAGTAATCTATAAATCTAAGACAATTTTTCTAAGAAAATTACAAAATACGAAAAATTGTTCCACAATAAGACCAAAAATTGCAAAATTTTCTCGAATTTAGCGCGTTTTTCACTGAAATTAGAGGTTAGAGCTAATGGTGAGAAGCTCTAAGATAGCAAAACAACCACAAAAACATATTTTTTTAATTATTTGTCCTCGTTTGAAGATTTCGTTTAGTTTTAGAATTTTTTTCAACGAAAACCTTCAAATTTTTTAGAGATTTTACAAAAAAAGATTGAAAATTGCAAAATTAATAACAAAACTAAGCAGAAAGTTACAAAATTATTCTGAAATGCATTATTTTTGCTTGGATTTAGAGCGTTTGTATTGAATTTGAACACTTTCCTGAAAACTAAATAAAAATTTTGCAAAATTACATGAAAAAATTAATTTTTTTCACTGAACTTTGGAGTGATTTTTAACGAGAAACTCATAAAATTTAATAGATTTTGCCAAAGGAGGATTGAAAATTGCCAAATTGGATCTGGAAATGCGTTACTTTGTAAATTTAGAGCGTTTTCCGCAGTTAAACTTATTGAATTAAAAAATATTTCCGAAAGTAAGGTATAAGTTTCCGAAATTGCGTTATTTAGAAATTTAAAGAAACTTTTCTACTGGGAAAATCAACAAATAAGACAAAAAATTACACTGGACTGAAAATTGTAATCTTAATTCTAAAATGGTTTATTTTCGCTTACTTAGATAAATTTTTTTCACTGAAAAACTTAGTTATTTCTAAAGATTTGGTTAAAAGAAAATAGAAAATTGTAAAATTAAATCTAATGGGTTATCATCGCATGTTTTTAAAGTATTTCTCTGAGAATTAAAAAAAAGTCGAAATATTTTACCAAAACTAAGCAAAAAGTTGTCACTCTACCGTGTATTTACAAACATTGTAAATTTTTAAATTTTTAAATCGATCCATGAAACTGTTTTCTCAGACTGATTGATCAAAAGAATTAAAGGAATTAATTGTTTCTGAACATTGTGTAATGAGAAAAACATTTTTTTTTCAACTTCTTTTACGATTTTGCTTGTTAAATTTGAAAAAATAATCGAAAAAATATTTGATATTTTTGAAAATTTCTAAAAAATCAAGAAACAATACTGACAAATTTTTGAGTTTTTGCTTACCTTATTTTACTCATATGAAATTAATTGCATTAGTTAAAAGTTGATACCCCAGCTGTATTCAGCAGTCGATTTACATTCATGCAAATTTTCAAAAAAAGTATTTTTTTTTAAATCGGTTCTGATTTTTTTAAATTTAACAGTAGGTAATGTACCATTTTTCAAAACTCAAAAACTGAAGCATTTTGCGACTTTAAACATACTATTTTCTTCTACACTTTATATTCTAAACACACATTAACCACTTTTGTATTTTTTACTGCTATTTATTGAGTTTTTCTTTTGTACTATACGAAAAATTATATTGTTTTTAAATGTTCTAAATACTAAGTTCATTAAATTCTGCAGAAATAGACAAAAAAATCGTTTTTTGGCGTCCTTGTTCTCAAGTCGCAATGTATCGAAGATCTGAAAAAACATTTTTTTATGTTATTTATATTGTTTTAAAATTGATTAATTTATGAACTTTTTTCTTCAAAAAAACGAAAAGTCGGCGCCCATGACTCTATCAGTATAGTGAATAAATGCTTCACGAAAGATTCAGCATCTGTGATGTTCGGCCCGTTATTATTTATAAGTCTAATAAAACTCGCATATCTTAACATCCCACTTGGCGAAATTTATCGTTACCGGTTGAAATTTTTCAGGTCCACACTTTTATCGGCGACCACACGGTTCGGGCGCCTATTCGCCTCTAATTACCCTGAAAAGAAAATTCAGTAGTCTTGAGATAAGCGGAAGCCGGCGCAACGAAATTGATTCGTCGACTTTTTTCAGATAATTACAGATTCGATAACCGAAAGTCGCACACGCGATCAATCGATTTGCATGCAAGCACCAGTTTCGATTTATTTTATTTTGTTGCTTTTTGGTTCAGCGAGCTGTGTGATCGTTTCTTGGATGTTAAGGGATGCGGAAAGAGAATATATTTATGCAAAGGAACGAGACTTTCTCTATGGCTACCCTTAGACACAGTCGGTTGCACTTTTCGAGTGATTTATCACGGGACGAGAGAGAAGTGATGGATTCTTGCTCTAATCTCTTCGAGTTATCGGAGCGGTCTTTTGGAGAAAGATACAAGAGATAACGTGGTCGTCTTGCACCCTCGAACATGAGAAATTTCAGTCAAACGGCAACCAGCAATACAACCCCTCGATAAAATTTCCTCTAATTTACGAATTCCGGGCATTTTTCCGGCCCAATTAAAGTCGTGGCGAAAGTGGCGCTACAACAATCGTTTTAATTGTGAGCCAAACCAATTTAAAATTTTTTAATTAAGATAAGGGAGTAAAATACAAGACGCGATATAGCTGTCAATGATAATTAATTTTTGGTAGCCTCGAGGATGTACTTCATATTTTCGTTGAAGAGAAAGTGTCTATAACGACTCGAGTTTTCAACGAGTTTTCTTAATTAACACCAGTAGTGATTAAAGTGGAAAATATTGGTAAACTTGTCAAGCCGAAATGAGGAGGAGGGAGTAGCATACGACATTTTTTATAGTAATAACATTAGCATATCAACATGTGTTTTTGAGGCAGGTGTAGTCGAACAGCACGCGCCAATCCCACAAACACCTTGTGTGTTTCTATTAATTTATTCTTGAACTTTGAGGGGAGAAATAATAGTTTTTTTTAAAAAATCGCACGTTTATTGGCTCAGTACAGTGTAAAAAGTAGTAGCAAAAATACTTAAAATTACGAAAAATAACTTAGCTTAAGTCATGGAACATGCTAAAACTTAACGACTAATTACTGGGGCTCTCAGTACGAGTTTGAACCATTAAAAGGCATCGTTTTAAAATTTCTCAAATTTTTATACAAAATATTGCAATAACAGCGGAGGAATGTCTCAAAATAGCACTAAATATAGCTAACAATATTTACAAGTATGTACAAAACAATGACTAGAATAACAATGTATTTTTTGTAAACAGATCCCAAAAAATATCACTCGTGAAGGCACTGGTCAAGGTCCGCACTGGCCTCTCTCTCTTTCTCTCGATCTGTAACAGAAAAGAAACCGTTAAAATTCTGAAAATTTCAGGTTCTTATATCTACACACGATTTTTTTCCTCCACCGGCAATTTCGCAGACACTATTGTATTTTTGAATGGACCCCTCACGGTCGCGACTCTTTTCATCCCGTGAGGGTAAGAAATCAAAAGAGGAAACGGAGAAGGGGGCCGGACAGGTAAAAAGCAGGTTTCTTATCAACAAAAGTCGGTATTATGTCGCGGAAACGCGTACTTATCGCGAATTTTTCTACCTGCCGAGGCGATTTCAATGATACAATAAGCGACGAAATAACATTTTCCCCCAAAATTGATCGTGTTTCAAGGAAGTGGGATGGTACTGACCTTATTCGTTCTGTTGCCAGGAGAATATCGCATCGAGGAGTTCCTCATCTTCGGGACTCTTCGGTTCGTAATTTTCGAAATTTTCCTGGTGGTAAATCGTGTTGGTGTAACTGGAGGCGGCTGAGAAGGAACTCTCGGAACTGTGGGAGGGTGTGGGTGATGAGGAGGCTTCCGAACATGTGGGGGTTGGTAGCAAAATGGGGTAGTTTTGGTACTGGTCCGGACTATTGCTATAAGTGCAGTTCCCGGAGTCATTCTCATGGTCCTCAATCATCTGTTTGAGACTCCGGATGTATTCAACTGCGAGTCGCAAAGTCTCGACTTTACTGAGCTTTTTCGAGGCTCCACGTCCAGTTGATGGTCCTTGGGGGGCAAAAGCTGCGGCGACGCTTGCAGGAATATGTTGTCTCAACGTCGCGAATCCATTGTTGACTTGTTTGACTCGGTTCCTCTCCCTGGCGTTCCTCCGGGCCACCGACGCCGGCTGCTGTTGAGGTCCATAGGGCATAAACTGGATTTTCCTCTTGCACCTCAAATCCGAGTTATTGGTGACTAAAACCGAGGTCCTTTCCGGGGCCGGAGCCAGAGGTCGTTTGCTCTGGATCACGGTTTTGGTCGGTTGGGTTAGAGTCCCGGAAACGATGATGGATTGTTGAGGTGAATGCTGGATCACATTGTAGATTTTATTCTGTTGGCCGAGGGTCATCGCGAATGGTGTTTGGACGACTGCCATGTGGGTTAAAAGTCACTGATTTTTCAAAAACGCACTTTGAGGCACTTTAACGCTCGAAAGCTACTCCCGATATGAGGCGCGCTTCCAATGGAGAAGCTCTTTGTAGCGCTTCGCCCCACCACCATGGAGGGTGCGCGCGCTTAGGGTTGAGCGCGTGCCGAAGACAAGAGGCGCACGGCCAAGTGAGCCGGCGCGAGGCTTTGCAGCTTCTTGCAGGACCGGAAGCTGTCACACACATAACTCGTGGGAATTCGCCACGAAAATCCGGGAGTTGAGCTTTCCCGGATTCATTCACCCTGACTGAATTTTAATTCATTGACATAACTCGAGCATCGGATAAGGAATGTTTACACATTTTGGGGCCTTCTGTTTCTCTAATTGCGACCTTGATGGCGTATAATTTAATATAATACTGGTTTTCACAGCCGACAAAAAATGCTTTAAAAACCTGAATTTGCCATAAAATGGATGGGAAGATTGCGTCGAAAACTTTTTACCAAAGTGGATTCACAATTTACGATCACATCGCACTTAAAAAACAGTGAGTGTGTAAAATCGGAACGAGCTTTTGTGGCTTTTGACGATTGCAGTGATTATAAGCGGGGTCACCCCCGGTCCAACCCTCTCCTTGTATCATTTCGCGACGAAACGACTCAAACAACTAAAAAACTTCATCAAATATTTATTTTTTTTATGTATTTCAAAGACTGAGTTTTTTAATTTTGGTATTTACATAAATTGTCTTTAAAAAAACATTCGTGGTGCCAATTGAAACAAAGATCAGGCTCAAAATGTGGTCAATCTCTCCCTATTCCTCGACGAGGAACGAGAACAACCTTTTTTTCGATTTCAATAAATTTAACTGAAAAAAATGCTCTACATTTTTAAAATACCGCTTTTTGGGAATATAATTTTGCACTTTTCTATTTGCTTTTAGTAAAATCTATCGAATTTCGTGAATTTCTCTTTGACAAACAAAATTCAGGGAAAATAATTCATTTTGCAACTTTTTATTTAGTTTTCACGAAAATTCCCACATAAAAAACTAAAAACTTGTAGTTATTAAAAAATAAGTTTCATTCTTTTACTGATATTTTAGACTTTAATTTTTAAGAAACATTTGATTATTGCTCAAAAAATTAACAAACCTCAACAAATTTTTATAGACATCACACACTATATTATTTTTTTGTATTTCAAAGAATGAGTTTTTTTATTTTTGTACTTTCATTAATTGTCTTTGAGCATTTGAGAATTGTCTTTGAGTTTTTTATTTTGGTACTTTCATAAATTGTCTAAGAGAAAAAAACATTCGTGGTTTAAATTGAAACAAAGATGAGATTGCTCAAAATGTCCATCTCTGGCAGATTTACCCTATTTCTCGACGAGGAACGAGAAAAACCTTATTTTGTCAATTTTTTTTGAATTCAATAAATTTCACTGTGAAAAACATTTTCAAATCCAATTTTGCAATTTTCTATTAGCTTTTGGCAAAATCTATTAAATTTTGTAAATATCTCGTTGAAAAACACTCCAAAATTCAGGGTAAATAATTCAATTGCAATGCAACTTTTTAAATAAAAAGCAGTTTCTACGAAAATTCTCACATTCACGACGTAAAATGTTCTAAATCCACCGAATTAAGCAAAAATAATAAAATTCAGAATTAAATAACATAAAAAGTTATTTTTCAGATTTCCCATACAAATGCTGATATAACTTGCAGGACTTGACAAAAATGGAACCAATTAAAAAAAATTGACTTTTTTTTGAAAATTGCAAAATACAGTTTAGGGGTTTCAATTTTTAATTAATGCAATTAATCTGAGATGAGTAAAATTAGGGTATGCAAAAACCGAATGGTCTTAAAAATTAGTCAGTATTTTTTCTTGATTGTTTTATAAATTTTCAAGAATAAAAAAACGATTTCTTTAATTTTTTTTTCAAATTTAATAAAAAAACTGTTTGTTTGCTCATTTTTCGTATTTGGTGCTTTTTCAAGTAAAAACTTCCTTTGAATTTATAAATAGCGCATTTTAGATAAAATTTCGAAAATTTATACCTTATTTTGGCAATTTTTTTTTGAATTCAATAAGTTTTACTGTGGAAAACTCTTTAAATTTACAGAGTAGCGTATTACCAGATCTAATTTTGCAATTTTTATTCCTCTTTTGTCAAAATCTATTGAATTTTTTGAAATTCTCGTTCAAAAGCACTAAAAAGTCAACTTTTTATGTAGTTTTTACGAAAATTTTCACATTCAATACGTAAAACGCTCTAAATCCACCGAAATAAAGAAACATAATATAATTCGGAATTAATATTGTAACTTTCTACTTAGTTTTGGTAAAATGTTTCGATTTTTTTTTAATCCTCAGAGAAACACTCCTTGCTTAGAGAATAATAGGTTTCAAGTACTCTGACATAAAAAAAATGTAGTTATTAAGAAACAAGTTTTATTCTTTTACTGATATTTTCGAGTTTGGTTTTTAAGAAATATTTGATTATTGCTCAAAAAACTATCAAACTTCAACAAATTTTTAGACATCACAATATATTAATTTTTAATGTATATCAAACAATGAGTTTTTTATTTTGATACTTTTATAAATTAAAGATAATGTTGCTCAAAATGTCCATCTCTCCCAGACTTACCCTATTCCTCCACGAGGAACGAGAACGACGTTATTTTGTGAGATTTTTTTCGAAATCAATAAATTTCACTGTGGAAAACGTTTTTTCGCATTTTCAAATATAGCTTTTGGCAAAATCTATCAAATTTTGTGAATTTCTCGCTGAAAAACAGTCCAAAATTCAGGGAAAACAATACGAGCTTTCGCAGCTTTTGACGATTTCAGTGCTTGTAATCGGGCCCACCCCCGGTCCAGCCCTTTCCTTGTACCATTTCGCGAGGTTCTTTCTCCCATCGAAACGAGATCAAAGAGTGATCTTAATTAAAAGCTGTCGGGTTTCGAGGCGAGCTTTCCTGCAAACCTCGCCATCAAATTAATGAAATTGTCAGTCAAGGCGCTGATTTTATCAGCCTCGCTAACTTCGATTAAGTCACACTGAGTCGTGCACATCCCGATGCGAAGCTCTTACGCTTAATTAAATTACTTTGGCCGTGATTAATTGGTTTCATGTGGGATTTTATGCGTGGTCATCTAGGTACAGAAAGAAAATTTCCCCTGCTCTTATCTCGTTAAAAAACGAGCATTCCACTATAAATTTGTTTGGTCTAATTATTCGGAAAGGGATTATTCACTGTAAAAAGAACAAACAAACATTAATTGGCGGCTCGAGTGAGGGAAGAAAAATGTCAGCTATTTCAGACCGGCTTGAACTACCCTCAGCCGCGGGGTAAGCTATTACCTGGACCCACGACGAAGGGTTAAGTCATGTTTGAAATGTAAAATGCGCCTCACGGGGCTTGAATAATGCAACGACGGACCTAATCACCCTAAGAGGTTTCCGGGTAAGGGGTGGCGGGACCACTCAAAAGCACTGGAAACAACAAATTTTAAAAAATGTTTTTTATACAGGCTGTTAGAACTCGCGCCCCAATTTTTTTTTTTTTTAAGTAAGAAACATGGAAAAATGTTTTTAAGAAATTATCTACATCTATTATCTATCTAGAATCTAAAAATACACTAGGTTTTAGCAGTTTGGATGAAAAATCGCTAAATTAGATGTGGACATACCCTTTTTCGGCGAGAAATTTACTGAAATTCAGTGATTTTGCCAAAACAACAGATAAATCGCTACATTAAATTTGATTTGCTTCATTTTTGCTTTTTTCATTATACAGGGTGTTTCACATAACTTTACGAGGCTTGCGCCTAATGTATGCACCCAAATATACAAAAGTCACAGAACACTGGATACAAAAAATACACATTTAATTATTTAATTTTTGGAAACCCATGACAGTAGTTGCCAAACTAATCACTGTTTCATTAATAGTCATAAACTGCAGTTTTTCAGAAACAATTATCATTTGTTCTATCAAGAGACGGCATGAATATGATTCTAGTTTATCTATCTTAATCACTAACTAACTTAAAACGTTGTAATTTTTGAAAGGGTGAACAAACTAGAGAAGATTATCCAATGTTTCAAAATTTGTAATCGAGTTCGTATCGGAATATGTATTATTTATTGCCTCTTACAGGCGCAGGCCTCGTAAAATTACGTGAAACACCCTGTATTTAAAAGGTTTTTCGTAGAAAAACTCACTAACCCTAGAATATTTTTTTAAGTAAGATAAGATATCAGAAACATGCAAAAAATGTTTTTATGAAATTATCTAAGTACATCTATTATCTATCTAGAATCTAAAAATACGCTAGGCTTTAGCAGTTTGGACAAACCAAAGATGAAAAATCGCTAAACTAGATATGGACATACCCTTTTCCAGCGAGAAATTTACTGAAATTCAGTGATTTTGCCAAAACAACAGATAAATCGCTACATTAAATTTGATTTGCTCCATTTTTGCTTTTTTCATTAGATTTAAAATGTTTGTCGTTTTTCGAAATACTATAGAAAATTGCTGAATTAGATATGGAAAAATGCCCTTTTTGTCTGTTTTTTGTAGATTTTACAAAATTTTCGAGAAATGTTTAAGGAATTCCACAAAAAAAAAATTCAAAAAATTTCTTGAGATTTTCGAGTACTTTTAAAACTACCAGTGGATTTAATAAAAAAATACCTTTTAAAAAAAAACATTTGTGGGTTTTTGAGTAATTCCATGAATTCCTCCAAATTTGGAAATTATGTGAGTTTTCTGATTTACAAAAAATTTGCAAGCTTTATTTCTAATTCTAATTTTCGAAAAATATCTAAGTAATTCCCCAAAATTTTTAGGGAGTTTTGTACACTTTTAATGGATGTCTTAAAAACTACTTAAGTTTTCATAGAATTTTCAGAGTTACAAAAAAAATCTTATGGGTTTATATTTGTATCTTTTTAATTTTGATGAGGAGATTTTGTGGATTTTATAGAATTTCCAAAAAATTGGTAAAAGATAAAAAATATATAAGAAGAATTCCTCCAAA